AGGGACCACCACTCTTAGCCAGGGCAGTCCCCCGACAGGACACCTGGCAGCTGGGATGCTTCGTACTTGTGACCTGTCTGTCCATTCACTCAGCAAATCCCCCTCTGGAGTGTGACTGGCCGACTCAGACAGAAGGTACCCAAGCAGCCCCAAGCCTGGGTGTGCGGGAAGGCCAACAGGCCCTGGCCTGAGGTCTTCTGCACTGTCCCCCAACCCATACACAGCTCAATTGCTGTAGCACAGCCCCAGGTGCCAGAAAGACATGCAAAAAATGAGGAGAGCCACTGGCAAACCAGACCCCAGGAAAGAAGGAGGAAGTTGTTGATTACACGTCAGGCTGAGCCCAGACAGACCCCAGACGCCCCGAGCATAGCAGGCCCTCTCCCAAGCACTCAGCTTGCGAAGTTAACCAAGCGTCACCAAACAGCCTTTGGCGGGAGTCGCAGCCAACACAAAAACAAATATTATATAAAGCTGAAGTAGACAGCCTGGGCAGAAAAAGCCCAGTTGACACTTCCAACGGTCCCCTTTGTGTTGCAGGTCACACACTTTGTGACCAAATCCCTCCCCTCCCCAGGCCTGTCCTCTTCAATCCCGCCCATGTGGCCCTGAGCTCCACTCATTACCCTTCCAAGTTGACCATCACTAAGAAGATTTCTCCCAGTCAAACGAACCTCGCATCTCATGCTCTACTGCAAACGCTCTTGACCTTTGGGGAGGTCAAAACCTTACTGAGAATCCCATCAAAGCCCTGACATTCTCCCCAGGAGCAAGCGTGATTGCAGGGAACTCACAGATGCCCTGAGCTGCCTGGGGTTACAAGCCTCGGTGGCCGTCCCCATGCCCATCTCCTCCCATTCCCCTCCTGCACTGAATTTGAGAAAAGCTCAGTAACCAGCCTCCGTTTGGAAGAATTACATAACTCCAACAAATGTCAGGAATCCATAAGGACTCTTTCTAGAAGGCTGGCCATGACATAAGGTCTGCAGGAGAAGGTCCCGTCCCTCATCTCAAGAGCTCTGGCCAGTCGGACTGGCAGCATCCCTGAAGGACACGCCCTCCCGGCGACTGCCGCGCAGATGTACCAACGTGACTTGCTGGGACTGCTGAGACTCAGTCTGTTACAACTGGCATCGGCTGCCACGGGCAAGTCATCAGAAGAGCCTGACCTTGGCAAAGCACATTTTACACTTGAGCACAATTCACTGGGTGACACCCAGCGGGGCGCAGGGAGGCAGGAAGAGGGAGAAGGTGCTGGAGTGTGCTGCCTGGCGCTGCCCACCCCACTGCACGGCACAAGCCACCTCACCCACACACGCAGACCCAACCCACGAAGCCAAATTCTCGAGCTGCTGCTGAGAATCCCATAAAAAGCAATGCTATTTCTAACCTCCCGCACCATGGAAAAATACACCCGCCACCAAGCAACCCAGAATCTCTGAAAGGTTTATTTTTATACTCTTTTCCCCACGCCCCCACCCCAACCTCCCCCACAAAAATTTAGGTGGAAAATTTGCTAGCTTTTTAGCAGCTTAACAATACTGTGCTAGGTATCAACTGAAGAAGTTGCCAGCACACTGGAATTGAAAGCAGAATGTTCAAGGTGCTTTTCTGATAGGACTCTGCACACTGACTTGAGAAAATAATATAATCTAATAATAGGAAGACAGAAACCATCGAACAGACAGAGAAAATCCCCCAGGTCCCAGACCAGGGGGGAAGCAACAAAAGGAAGAAGTTTCTCTTCCGAAAGCCTGTCCCCGCTTGCTGACCCTCCTCCCTGCATTGCCCATTGTCCTAGTCCAGCCCATAGATAGAGGCGTCCCGCGATCGTGACGCCCTTGCTGGGCATCTGTTTTTCTCAATGCTACTCTGAACCTGAATCTGAAGGGTGAGCTGGGGCTCCAGACCTGACTCCCCAGTGCTGCACAGAGGAAGGACTCAGGCAGGGGCAGGAAGGGGCAGGAAGGCACTGGAGATGAATGAGGACTGCAGGACCCAGAAACTTCCAGAAGCCAAGAGAGACCCTTGAACCAGGACTCCTGGCACTGGCAGCCATGGGGTCACCTCTCTGATGACAACCTGGAAGGACAGCAGAGGCTCTAACCCGATGCGGTCCAGCTGCTCATGCAGACAGGACATCCTGGTGCAGCTCTGGAGGAACCTAACCTGAAGGCAGAGTTCACTCCCAGAGTTGGGAGCCCAGACCCTGTGCCACACGCCCAGCCGTTTCTGTTGGGTCACGTTCTTCACAGTTAAGTCCGTTTCAATGTCAAAGATGACTTTGTACCGACATCTGGTGAAAACAAGCATTAATTTACTTAGCGGAGTAGAAAGCAGGAACCCACATTTAAAGGTGATGAGCGCTTATCTCAGTTCTATACTGTTCTTCTTTGATTTTACCCTAAAAGTTTTAAATTTAAGGCAAGAACAGGAAGATCGGGTCCTAGGGATGCATGTCGGTGGAGAGGGTTGTCTGTTAACTGCCGCGGGTCACTCTACTGGGACCACAGATCCCACGCCGACTCCCTGTCCCACAGTCTATGAAGGACGTTGAAGGGAACCAAGACAGGTGGGATTCTCCCCACCTGCATCCTCTCGTCTGCTGAGCCAAGAAGATCCAAGGCTGAGGTTCCATTCTCTCAAGAAGAGAAATGGGTGAAAAGAGGTCAGGAGCAACTCCCTGGCCTGCATCTCAGAGGCTACACCCCAGCACGCCTGGCACTTGGAAGACACCTGTGAAGTTCTTCAGGAATTCTCCCTGTGCTGATTGAGGACAGACCTCTAATCCTCCCACCTACTGTGTACCAAAATGCTGAATTGGGCATCTACTAAATAATTCTTCAAGATAAATAACATCCTGTTAAAAGTCAAAAAAGTTGAGACTCAGAGCTAGAACCTGGTGTGCGTCACAAAGTGAATAAAATCCACGGGGCGAGAATTCAACCCAAATTCCGTGGCTTGTGACTCTGCTTTACAAATGCCACATGCCAAGGGGCAAACCTTGAGCTCATCCAGGAGGCCCCAGTGATGAAGCACATTAACAGCAGCCTACACATGCAGACCCACCCCCATTTCAAAGCCAAGTTCAAACGAATCCATGTACAGAAAGAGGGTCTGTGCAAAACGCAGACCTCCGTGGGCTTCCCAGACAGGCAGAGCACTGAGCCATAATGCCACCTGTCCACTGCATCAGCCCTTAGGAATGTCTCACGGCCCAGCTGTGAGCTGCTTAAGGGACCAAGCTTTACAAGTAACAGAGTGAATATAAATTCCGGGACAGTCAACTGTAAGGACCTATTTTAGAGGTGTGAAAGTTCTTACGACACCTTGGAATCTAAGTCTGTGCTTGAAAATTACCCGTGATGCGTGAAGCAGCATGCGGGTCTGCAGAGACAGCCTCGCTTCTCGGACCTCTGGGGGGAAGGGGGGGCGGGCAACTCGGCTTTCCATCTAACCTGAAAGCCACACTCAGCAACTGCAAGTTGAGAAAAAGTTTTCCATTACCAGTTTTGAAAGTTGCTTAAAATAGCTGACAGAATGAGGTAATCCCATATAAGGAGGAAAATCAGATACTTATGTAATTTTCAAGAATTATTTCTACTTTTGCCAAAGTTTTGCAAATCAAGTTGGGCAGCCCTTCGGGGCACAGGCCAGTGGGTGCATTAGGAGAGTTGGTGAACAGCGACTTGGGGCAGCGACTTTAGCTTGGGGTGGGTAAATTCAAGGGGGAATGTATTTGGAATGAAGAATGCAAACAGAGCTGCACCCCCAGTTTGTAGGCCCTGGTGGGGTCGAGCAGTCACCTCCCACTCTAAGCTGGTGGTAGGTGCCAAGTTACAGAAGTAACCTAGTGCAGCTCACCAGCTCTCACGGGGCAGCAAAGATGGGAATTCTCAAGCCTCATGCTGCTCCTTTAGGATCTCAGGGGCCAGATGAACCCTTCATCAGTCCCTGAACACCCAGGAGATGAATGAAGGCTTATCACGCCCCGTGAGTCCCCGTGCCTTGCACTCCACGTTTTCAGACCTCTGAACCCTCAAGGCAGCAGTAGACAGGAACCCACTGCATTCAATCAGCCAATGGCCCACTGTGCGACGCACGCTCTTAAGCACCTGCCATGCCAGGAAGGGTCCAAGTTGTGAAAAGCCCTTTAAATTCAAGCACCTGTGTGCCTCGGTGAAGAAGCACCCTAAACCCCCTCCCCAGTCCCCAACCGTCATCTATTGCCAATAGCAGCCATAGATAGAAAGGTCTGGGTGTGCTGAGCCCCTCCAAACACACCTCCATCCATGTCCTTCATTTGACGAGTTCCCTGGAGCTCCCTGCTGTGGACACTGTCCTTCAGCACAATGCAGTGGGTGCGGGGACAGGGGACGGGGCTGGGGGTGCACTGGCCCTTAGAAAGTTTCCATTCTATCAAGGAATTTGCCACAAGCAATGAGCATACCTCCTGGCACATTAAAAATTTAGGGGAAAAAAATTACATCTTGTATTTCACAGAACTTCCTCCTTTCCTCAAGATTCTCAAGTGCGTCCCCAACTGAGGTTCCCTGCTGTCAAGTGAAGCCTGACAATCAGGCAGGACAAGACTCACTAACGCCACTTCAGAGTTGACAAAATAGAGGCACAGGGAAGGGAGGGGGGCATGCCTAAGGGGAAAAGCGGACGGTGGGCAGGTGGGCAGGCTGGGGGGGGGACACTCCTGGCAGCCTCCAGCACCTCCCCTGGCTGTCCCCCAAGGGGGCTGGCTCTGAATGGGGCTTGGGCCTGAGGATATCAGAGGTGACTCAAACACATATGTGTCATCTAAGCTTCTGATGAAGACACCCCAAGTCCCAGCCACTTAGCCCCCCCACACACACACACACACAAAGTGGCATATACACACACGGACTCACAAACATAAAACCTAATGCAGTAACTCAGGAAGGGACCATCTCAGAACGGCTGGTGTTTGACAGTCTTTGTGACAAAGAAGAGCCGGAAGCCCCACTCACCTTTACCACTACGAGCCGACAGGTATCAGTCCGTGGAAACGGTCCAGCGGAGGAGGAGGCAGTGGCGTGAGATGGCAGGTGCAGAGCTTGTGCTACAGAAAGGAAAAGAAGGGCCGTCAGGGCACCAGTGCTTCCTTTCCCCTGGAACACCCACCCCCAGACACACCAACTTCCAGAAAATGTCTGAGGGCTGTCAAAACAAAAGGCACAGATATCAAAATAAAGCAAATAAAAACGTGAAGATACGCAGCAAGTGTTAAAGGGAAGGAAGAGGGGATCTCAGCAGAACCTCTGGAGCAGGGACACGACCGGCCCGCCCCACCTCCGACCTGCAGGGAGCAAGACCAGCTGCTCCGGTTCCTCCCTGAAATCCCGGCCTGCTTCTGTGCCCTCCTGAAGCTCTGGCCTCTCCGCCCGCCCTCTGTCCCGTCAGTGATCCATCCTCCACTGGGTGCTGCAGATTTTGTCCAGGCCACACAACCCATCGCCAGGCCCCTCGCCCCAAGATGGTGAGCTGACTCCACGCACACAGGGCCTCGGAGGCTGAGCACGGTGCCTCCTCAGGAGACCTCCACGCACCTTTCAAAGCAGCTTCGGGAAAACTCGGTAAAGCTCTGCCTCGGATACCACAAGTGCCTCTCAGCACCCGGCCTGCCAGTGGGTCGGATGCTCCTGTCCAAGGCTGAATGAGCCGCCATCTGTCTAGCTCATGTGCCGCGCCCCCTCCAGGAGACTTGTCCCTCAAAGCACAGTGCTGCCATATGTCACTCCTGAGTGATCCGCCAATGCTAAGGCATCTAGATAAAAAAAATGACTGCACCTAGCTCGAGGGCCCCGTGAGAATCCCACAGAGGCCCACCCCAACACCTGAGCCAGTGCCTCCCTGTGTCTGTTCAACTCCCCCTGTCACTGCTGTGGGGACATCTCTTTTTTTTCCCACATTTTTTTATTGATGCGTTTTGGTTGTATATAACTGAGGTGATCTGTGGTTACATATTCGAACCTGCACACAATGTAACAACATAATTGGGCCATTATTACTCCCCAGCACTTCTCCCTCTTTGCCCCCTTCCACCCCTTAATCCCTCTCCTCTACTGAGCTCTCTTTGATTCCCATAAGACCCGCTCCCAACCTTCTTTTGCTTTCTCCTCTCTGACTTTCTTGTATGAAAGAAAACTTGACTCCTTGACCTTCTGAGTTTGACTTACTTCCTTTATCATAACGGTCCCCAGTTCCATCTATTTTCCTGCCAATGACATAATTTCATTTTTCTTTACGACTGAATAAAAAACTCCATTGTATATACACACCACATTTTCTTTATCCATTCCTCTCTGATGGACACCTGAGTGGGTTCCACAGTTTGGCTCTTGTGAGTTGGGATGCCATAAGCATGGGTATGCAGGTATCCCTGGAGCATGCTGACTCTAATTCTTTAAGATATAGACTGAAGAATGGTCCAGCTGGGCCATATGGTGGTTCCAGGCCTGGCCTTCTGAAGATCCTCCATACTGATTTCCATGGTGGTTGTCCTCATCTACCATGTCCTAGTCCCGCCAACTGTCAAAGTGTTCCTTTCTCCACATCCTCTCCAGCACGTATTATTATCTGTATTCTTGATGGCTGCCATTCTGACTGGTGTGAGATGAAATCTCAGGGTAGTTTTGATTTGCATTTGCCAAATTGCTAATGATGTCAAACACTTTTTCGTATATTTGTTGGCCATCACTATTTCTTCCTTTGAGGAGTTGGACATTTCTTTCTCCTCTCCTTTCTTCTCTCCAGTGAGAGAAGAAAACATGCACTTCTGATTCTCCAGAACTTAGGAACAGGGATCCCTCTCCTAAAGCTTTCTGGGACTCAAACGCTGCGATCTCTTGGGAACAGAAGTCAGTGAAATGACATAAGTGTCCTGGTTAGGGCAGAATCCCATGTGACTCCACAGTGGATGGTGTCCTTGTATAATTCCCTTCCCTTGAGCACAAAAGTAACTTGCAACTTGTTTCTCACCAACAAATGGCACAGGTGCCACTCCCTTGATCAGGTTCCCCTGTGTAGGAATCCAGCTCAGTACTCCAGTGAGGTGCCCTTGCTGGTTCTGAAGAAGGGAGCTAACAAGACAGGGTCCTGTCTGTGAAGGGGCCACGTGGCAAGGAGAGCAGGGACCTCTGAGAGCTGAGAGCAGTCACCAGCTGACAGCCAGCAAGGAAACAGGGATCTCAGCCCCACAGGGACAAGCAAGCTTGACTCTGTCAATAACATGAATAAGCTTGGGAATGGATCCTTCCCCCACCCAAACCTCCAGATGAGAACACAGCCCCTGAGCTACGGACACCGTACGAGAATGAGCATTGTGCTTGGCCTCCGGGCTCATGACAATTTGCTATGTAGCAATGTAAAATTACTAAATCTAGTTTAGTGATCAATATGTGAAATATGGATCTCTTCAGTGCAAACATAACCAGCCCATCAGAATAGCCCTCGCTGGCTGCGGCATCAAAGGTAAACCTTCATTTTTCCCACTCCGTGTGAGCAAGAACTCATCACCTCATCCTGGCACCCCAAGACTTTGCAGAGCGAACCACTCATTGTTTTTTTTTTTTAATGAGTCAAACTAAAAGCATTATGATCTGTGGATCTCCATACACTATGATAAGGCCACAGCAACTGAATTGGTCCATCCTTCTAGCCAAGTTTGTACCTTCAAAGTAAATTTCAAAATCTCTGGCAGATCTTTAGCTCCTGCTTGAGCCCAGAGGCTGAAGGCAGAGCTCCCCCTGGTCCCATCTCTTCATTCTACCTGGGAACCTGAGTCCGTGCTTAGAAATGTCACTCAGTAGTTACAACTTTGGCCAAATATCCTTGCTGCTTCTCTGGCATTTTAGCTATGTAACAGCTCAAGGTTTAAAACAAAAACTTCCCTAAAAAATCTGCAGAGCAAGAACTTGTGATTCCTTCTTAAATTTTCATTTGTATCAATAAGTCTTTCATTCTCCACCAAAATGAAAAAGTCCTGAGCGGGTCCAACAAACGGGTTCTAATTCTGACACTGATTCTGAAGCGACTTCCTGGCAATCTTTTTTTTTTTTAATATATTTTATTTGTCAACAGACCTTTGTTTTGTTTATTTTTATGTGGTGCTGAGAATCAAACCCAGTGCCTTACACATGCTAGGCAAATGCTCTACCACTGAGCTACAACCCCAGTCTCCTGACAATCTTTTTTAAAAATTCTTTATTTTGTTTTTTATTGTTAAATTGGTGATTTTTAATTCTCTGAATTAAAATTTTTATCTAAGCTCTGTTTAAAATAAAAGTTGGAAGCCAGGTGTGGTGATGCACACCTGTAGTCCCAGCTTTTCCTGAGGCTGAGGCAGGAAGATCCCCTGAACCAACAATTTCGAGACCAGCCTTAGCAACATAGTGATACCATGTATTAAAAATAATAATAGGGCTAGGGATGTGGCTCAAGTGGTAACGTGCTTGCCTGGCATGCGCAGGGCACTGGGATCGATCCTCAGTAACACATAAAAATAAAGATGTTGTGTCCATTGAAAACTAAAATATAAATATTAAAAAATTCTCTCTCTCTAAAAATAATAATAATAATAATCAAAGAAAAGTAGAATGTCTAAATAAAGTCAGTTTCTGTTACCTCAAGAGGTAAATCATTGCTCTTATTACAAAGAATACTGTGACTAAAGTTGTGTCTTAGATTTTGAAAAGGCTGATTTTAATAACAGGCATATTTTTAAATATTCAAATTAGTTAAATTACATAAAAGGTACAAAATAAAAACTTCATCCATTACAGAAACTTGTCACATTCCCCCAAAATCCATATTCAGGAACTCATTCTACATGCCCATTCCTTCCCCAGTCACTTAGTAAACATGAACATTATCTCCAAGGTTTATCCCTTATCCTCAGCTTCTCCGACAGAAGGATGCTCACACCCAAGCCAAGAAAAACTACAAACAGCCGGCCCGGAATTCGAGGCAGAGAACTTCAACAAACTCACCTCTTCCTCCCGGCATAACCTGCACTCCCTCAGGCCCATCTCTAGCTGTGGAAAACAGCCAGTGGCCCACAGCTCAGAATCCTCCTGGACGGGGTGAGGCAGGGAACCGGAGCCCAGGCAGCAGAGGAAGCCGGCCCAGGCAGAGAATCAGCCCCAGGTCACAGCGCCACCTGACACCCCACAGCTTCTTTCCCCCTGTTCCAGCGACAGTGAGTCTTCTCCACCGTCTCACTTAACACAGCTCAACGCAAAGTCCAGCAAGGGCTTCAAACCACAGCCTGGGTGTGAATGTCACACCTTCACTTGGGACATGAGGGCAGCAGAACTGTGCACTCGGAGACAGTGGAGCACCAGGTCAGCACTGCCGCTCACGGAAAGAGCTGGCTGCGTCCTCCTGCCATACCCTGCTGCTGCGGCCAGCATCTCAGGAACCGACAAGTGCCTTCCAAAGTGATAAGGGCAGCCTCCAGGTTCTGACCAGGTCCCCAACCCAACCATCTCCTGAAGGACATCTCCCTGGCATGTTGGGACCCGTGAGCTCGTGTGAAGCAGGGCAACCAGAGGGAGTGGGGGTGCTCCTGAACATGAGCAGGTCACGGGTGCGTGAGGGCAGAGGACACAAGCACCCAAAGGACGGGAGCCACGTAGGCCACTTATCTATCCAGAGGTGCCAGGCAAGCGCTGTGCCACTGAGCTATTATTCTTCATCCTCACAACGTTCTCACTTCCTCTTGAGGGTAAATGAAGAATTTGTTCCTGAGAAGGGTTCAGAGGAAGCTGGCTGCAGACTTCCTTCCTTTCTCTGCACGGGGACACTCTCCAGCTGGGGACGGGCCCTGTGAAGCAGGGCCATGGAAAACACAGCCAGGCGGAGGGACAGGACCCGGGGCCGCTCCGTGGAAACTATAACTCGGGATAAGAAAAAACAGGCCGTTTCCAGAACGTTTAGAAGCTGAGAATAAGGGGAAAAACCTTGGAGATAATGTTCATGTTTGCTAAGTGATTGGAAGGAGATTTCCAAGAAGAAACCATTCTCGCTCGATGGTATTATTTCAGGATGGCTGGAGGTGGG